GCAAAAGCTTTAAATACTAGCAATCCAAAATCCAGTGACATTTATTTTTGTTGTTGCAGTTTGGCTGGGGCTGGGTTTGAACCTACCACCCTCAGTATATGGGGCCAGCGCCCTGCTCACTGAGCTACAGCAACCACCTTATCCAGTGACATTTAAAAAGGATTATATACCAAAATCAATCAAGGTTTATTTTAGAAATGTGTGACTGGTTCAATATATGAAAAAAATTAGTGGGATATATCACGTGAATAGAATAAAGCACAAAACCATGTGATCATCTCAACAGAGGTAGAAAAATCTTTCTCTATAATGTACAGTTCTCATATGACCCAGCCATTAGTATTTTTAATATTATACCCACGAGAAACCAAAAGGTGTGTCCACATAAATATATTTTCATGGCCCCGTGCAGTGGCTCATGCCAGTAATCACAGTACTATGGGAGGCCGAAGCAGGTCGATCACCTGACCTCACTAGTTTGAGACTAGCCTGAGCAAGACTCCATCTCTAAAAATAGCCGGTTGTGGGTGTTTGTACTCCCAGCTACCTGGGAGGCTAAAGAGTTTGAGGCGGCTGTGAGCTATGATGTCATAGCACTCTATCAAGGGTGACAAAGTGAGACTCTGTCTGGTAAAAAAACAACAACAACAACAACAAACAGCAAACTAAACAAAAACTTTTTCATTATTCTGTCTCCTTCAAAAAAAAAAAAATAAAAAGAGGCTTGGGGCCTGTGCTCAGTGGTTAGGGCACAGGCCACACACACTGGGGCAGTATGGGAGGCAGAGGCAGGAAAATCGCTTGAGCCAAGGAGTTGGAGGTTGCTGTGAGCTGTGATGCCAGAGCACTCTGCCCAGGGCGACAGCTTGAGGCTGTCTCAAAAAAGAAAAAAAAGAAATACAGATTCACGTTCAACATGAATGGATATTGAAAACATGCTAAGTGAAAGAATCCAGACACAAAAATGTCATGTATTATATGATTCCATTTATATGACATGTCTAGCA